AACAGTTTCACTTCCCTAAACAAAGTCACAAAATCTCATATCTGAAATTAATTGTGCCAGTTTGTTGAGCCCAGTAAAGCTTGCACATCCTGTCTCTTTTATCCCAAAGAATCAGCCCCACAACTTGGACATTCTGCTCTGAGGTCAATTTTCTCTCTGCCTTTTTTTTTTTTTTTTTTTTTAAACCAGCTTTTCATGTGATTTTTGGTGGGCAATATTTTGGGCTTTAAAATATAAACTTCTACACAATGTCAAGCGAAGCAGACAGCATCAGACAGCTTGGTCTCTCCAAACAGGCAGATGCGAGAAGAAGCTGTAGCTAACCTAACCTTAAGCCCCTCTCAGAAAAGGCTACAAAGAGATGAGCTATGGCGATATGTGTGTATATATACATATATATATAGCTACTGAAGAAACAGAAACCTCCAGAGGAGCAAAAGCAAATGGATTTTGCAGATCTTCTTGTGAGGTTTCCATCCACTAGGGATCTCAAAACCCTTGGATTTTGCCTCACAGCCACACTCTTAACTTCTTGGTTTGAATTTATATACTACAGAAAATTATATACTCACATGCTGACATAGTTCATCATTATTTATAGGAGGCGCACCAGGATTTTCTTCCAAGAATATATTTATTACAGGTAAGACATGGCCAATTTATCTAGCAAACGGAGAACAGGTGTTTTGCTTCAATTAACGTTCAATAATTTCATCTATACTTATTCAGCACCCTACTACCAACACGGCTGTTTATCCATCAGTTGTATAAACACATTTCCATGAGCCAAGCGAGTTTAATCTCCACAACACACTTAAATCAGCCATTTCCCTTTCTCGGCTCTCATAACATTTGTAGAGTCCCTCCAAATCCGTTGTGAAATAGGCTGATTTTTAAAAATAATTTCTGAAAGGCAATGAAGACCAGAAATATGACAACAGACAGCTCGTGTTTCTTGTCTGATGACAAAGGGTCTTTTCATTTTATAACCTCCCAAATCTTAAGGAAGTTAAGTGAAATYAATTAATTAATTAATTAATTAGAAATAGACATTAGATAAGTCAGAAAAAGCAGGAATTCCTCCCTCAGTTTGACAGAAACCTCGTTTTGTGTGAGATGCTCACTGGAAAGAAGCAGCGATCCTCCCCACGCTACTCTGTGGTAGGAATTTATCTGTTTTCCCCGGTTTAAACCCGAAAGGAATAAAGCAGAGTTACTTTGAATTTGTCCAATGGAAAGAAGAACAGAGTTTGAGAGTCGATGGGGGCTACTCACCTGGGTCACATTTACTCACGGTAGTCTTTGCAAGATCTTAGCTCAGAGGCTGTGAGGGGCTTACCAGCCAGTCCTCAACCCTCACCTTGGCTGGAGCCTGGAGAATGAATCTGCTTTTTCAAGCAAGGAAGGTTTTTGCACTGGTTGGGGGGCTTTCGCCACATTGATGGATTTAAAAAATAATAAAAAAATAAATCTCACCTTCAGCATTAAGCCTCCATTCTGCTTTGTCCATCATCCCTACTCTCTCGATATATATATATATTTTTAATGGAAATGGACAGTTTCCTAATAGTGCCTCTTCCAGCGGCGCTTTGCTCCTGGACACCGTGTCCCTCTAGCAGGGCGCAGGTCAGCGGCTCCTGTATAGGCGCCGTTTATAGCCAGAAAGGAAAATCTAATGCTTCGGGTCCAGGGTTTGAATCATCCTTATAATTTGCTGGTCACCCCTGATAGCCATTTCACACACAGGTTTTGTGTGGACATGGACACATGGAGTCATGTACATCGGCTGCTCCATATGGATGAGGGAAACGCGAAATACAGTTTTCCCTGATTTCGGATGGCTATTAGCACCCCCTCCAATGTTGTTATTAACCTGTTAATATGGACTTATAACCCTATACACTTCAGGAAGTATTCGCGATGATTTATCATTGCTAGAAATCTCTTTGCCCTTCACTTTAAATATCCTCCTGTATTGGGGTGAGAGGAAGAAGGCGGAGGGATAATAGATTAAAGGAGGCAAATTGATCCAGACTGTTACAGTTGAAGTCCAGAGAAACACTTTTGCCGTAATCATAGAGTGCACCTTTTCCTTAACCAACATTTACGATGCCTTCGCCATAAATGCATTTGTCATAATAACTCGATCCCACTGACCCTGTTACCCGGCTTCAGACTAGCTCGAAACTGCATCTAGCTATAACCCCATGTCAATCACCGGCTTCGGCGCTAGCAGAGACTCTAATTTTGCATTTTTTCCCAAAAAGAAAAATGTAATAAAATAAAAATCAAACTTAAAACGCAAGCGTTGGCAGCGGCACGGGTGGGTGGGACCCAGCACATGCACGGAGCTATGTGGAGGTGCGAGGTAGGGGGGCACGGGAAGCGAAAACGCGAAGGATTTCTTTTTTTTTTTCTTCTTCTTTTTTTTTTTTTTTCTTTTGCCCCCTTTCTTTTCCACAGGCAATAAATTCAAGGCTATAAAAATCAAACAAAGCTAATGTAAGTTTTATTAAACTATTTAACCGTCACAAGTTTAAGGCATTCTGTAAAGCAGAATCAGTGGCGCACTTTATTTTACCAGCCTTGTAAAGTTAAATGAAGGCTTCTGATTTCAGCAATGTGTTAGACTATTTTAGCCCGAGAAGAGCAGACCTGAGATTATACCAAGAAACGTGTGGCCATATATGCGTATGTATATATTTTTTATTTTTTATATACGCATGTATTTATAAGCAGACGTATTTTAAAACAGACTTTGAAAGTATGTAGGAACCAGAAGCTCAGCAGCTTGCTGGTCAAAGTCGTAACGTCACGTCCATCTCATTGACCTTTTAAATTTCATATTTAACCACATTATTTTACTATTTTAACGATCCATTTTCCCACACTGATGGGTTAATTATTTATAACACACTCCCCCCACTCTGCCTACCTTGGTCCCTCAGTATCTTTGTAAAAATGCATGTATCTGGGCATTTGCATTTATATGCATGTATTGCACATACACATATCTATGTATATAAGATTAGGGGAGGGTTGTGGGGTGCGGGGGTGGAGGCACTGTGCTTGTTCCCAAGCTTTTTGCTATGGTGCTTTGGAGCCCGAGTGGCAAAGAATAGCTTTTATCTTCCCCCCACACACACATCCATGATGGTTATTAAAGAAAGAATATCAGCATCATCCTAAAAAAAAAAAATCTCCCTCCAACCCCCTCCTCCTGACCCCCCCCACCCAATATTTCGGGGGCATATCTACGAAGGGATATTGGGCACAGCTCTGGCTATTTCGTGGCTTTGCTAAACTCCTGACGTTTTGCAACATTGCATAAACATAAAACAATCCATCCTTGATATGGAATGCAAGGGCGGATGACAGCGCAGCGCAGCCCCCTCGGCGGCGATTGATTTACGCCGCGCCTGACGCTTTATCAGGCACACGAAAAAAGTTTGACCAATCATTTTGCTGGGAGCTCACAACACAGCAGCCCAACTGTACTTTGTTGGCTAGGAAGTTGGAGAAGGGGGTCGAGTACAAATCTAGATCTGTCCTATATATTTTTTTCCCTTCATTGAACCGTGCTTTGTATGATGTCTGAGAATGTCCATTTCTGGAACTCTTAGCAATTACTATGTCGACTCTATTATAAGTCATGAAAGTGAAGACTCGCCTTCAGCTAAATTTTCATCTGGGCAATATACAAGTTCCAGGCAAGCTGGGCATAATGAGCATCTAGAATTCCCCTCCTGTAGTTTCCAGCCAAAACCTCCAGTTTTCAGCGCCTCCTGGACTCCTTTGAATCCACATTCTTCTGGTACCCTTCCTGCCGTCTACCATCCATATATTCAACATCAAAGCGTCCCATCTGATAGCAGGTATCTACGGAGCTGGCTGGATCCCGTGCCTAGAGCTGAGAGCCTCCCGGGGCAGGGATCCGTTAAAGCAGAGCCGCTGCTGGGCCGTCCCGGGGATGTCCATAAACAGGGCACACAGGAGTACAATTTAGAAACTTCTGCTGCAAGGGAAGGGATCGTTTCCAATCAAAGGCCCAGCTTCGAGGACAATAAAGTTTGTGAAGGAAGCGAAGACAAAGAAAGGACAGATCAAAGTAAGTTATAAAAGTGAGGAAGTAAACAGTATAAAAGCTGGAGGAGGTGCAATAAAAGGGGACAATGCTGCGTAAAGTTTAAAATCAGGGCTTAAAGAAAACTCTCAGATTCCTGATGCCAACCTAAGGGGAAGAGGTGGGGAGGGGAGTGGGGTGGCATTGTCTCTGCTGAAAATAAAATTAAAATTGAGCTTCGTCTCTGAGCATAGCAGAGTCCAGAGCGGACAAAAGCTGGAGCAAGGCGTCTTATCTACAGAGAGCTGGCTCCGGCAGCAGAGACCACTTTTGTAAGCGAGAGTCAATCCGCACGGAGGGTAGTGGGCTGGGGAAGGGAAGCGGGGAGCGAATAAATATGGGGAAGAAGGGTAGGGGGACGGAGGGCGGCGGTCGGAGGACAAGGAGAGGGGAAAGACCGAAAAAAAAAGAGGAAAAGTTCACGTGGGGGGAAGTAAACAGCAATGTTTTCTTTTTTATCCGTGCCCGTTACTAGAATTTACCTAGAGAGATGCATGGCGCCGGGCAGCTTCGCTCACTGCGCTTGTCACGTTGTCTCGAGCTTTTTGTTTTGTTTGTTTGTTTGTGTGTTTGTGATTTTTTGTAACTCTGTTTATTAAATGCAATGATTCAAGGTATGAATATTGCAAAGCTTTGCGCCCTCTTTCGCAGAAAAAAAAAAAAAAAAAAGCGGGGGGGTTCTTATAGCTAAATTAAGACTTTATTTGTAATGTAGAGAGATTGGTGAACGGTTAAACTGCACTATCTGCCTTTTTAGTGACYGATATATTTTTTTTCTTCTTTCTCCTGAATAATAATAATGTGTATAAAAAATCCCCATGAAATCATTTTAATAATATTAGTATTTTAATGGTAATGCAGGGGAAATAGAGTAAAAAACTAGGGAAAAGGAGTATCTTAACCTCATACCGATTCCCTGGCTTCAAATTGAAAGGTAAAACGGAGCCAAAGTCTGTGCAGGAGGCGAGAGATACAAACTTGGCTTCACGGCCACGGTAAATATTTTGTGAATGTTCAAGTTTTCCAAAGTGACTGGCTGGAACAGGCAGAGGAACAGCCCCGCCGCGGGTCTGGCACTGCAGAGGCTGTGTAGTGTGTAATGACACAGTAATTCTTTTTTTGTTGTTGTTGCTCTTTTCTTTTCTTTTTTTTTTCCCCCAACGTGCAACAACAACAACCATACGATTAAAAATAGAGTGTATCTCCGTCCCTTTAATTCCCTCCTCTCCGTGTCCAGGATGTTAGCGTTACATTTTTTTTTTTTTTCCTACCATTTAACTTACACCATGAACACACACAGAGACACACACAAGCACACACACACACACACCCTCTCTCACACACACAAAAAGAAAGTCCCATTCTATTGTACTGGGCAGAGATCCAGAACAAACTGCAACCGTGAGGTGAATGATTTGAGAGAATTAAATATCCAGGTTCTGTGTTCAATGTGCCTGAAATTGAATATATAAAAATCTAGTCCAAGAAAATGTTATTAAGTTATAAGTGAGTGCAGGGACCCGCTCTAAGAGGATACTGTGTGGTTTCTATGGCATGTGGTTACGACGCATATTTTGTTTTAAATAATAGTTTAATTTGGGCTGATGTTGAGAGCCTGCCAGGACTGGGAGACGGAGCTGTTTTGCAGAAAGTACTCCCACCAATTTCCCCGACTCTTTCAATTTTTGCAAGTATTTCATAATAATGAATCTCTGCATTGTGGATGGCACCGGAATCTGTTGATTTATTTGCTAGATTTTCAGGAAAACCTATGCCAGAACCTCTTCTCATTCGCTTCCCTTTTGGGACATGTACATGGAGTGAATAGATAAAATTTTTTTGCATTTAAAATGTCTTATATTTTAATGATCCAAGGTATSACCAAAAAAATCAAATCAAATCTGTTATGAAGTAGAAGCCGCCATTGCCATTAAAGGATGGGTAGAAGGATTAACAGTATCAATTATTAACAGCTTTCTTCCTCTTTAATATTTAATTCTGCATATTAGATCAAGTCAATTACATTAAGGAAATAGTCATGCAAATTTGTAAGAGGCAGTACTTACAGTGGAAGATTAACCGGATTATTTTAAAAATATTCAATATATTTCATTTTACATAGAGGAAACATTCTGGTGGCAGGAGCGTGTGTGTATGTATATATTTATAATGGTCCATTAAATTGGTGTAAAGGTTTATGGCTTCAGTCATCATTTCAGGGGAGGCAAAGGAAATAAAATAGAAATACGTGGTCTGGCCATAACCTTTCATTTTACTCCTTCCCGCCTCCCTGTTCCCCAACGGTCAGCTAATATTTGCATATGATTAGCGACTGCTAGGGGATTTACCCCCAAACAGCCTAATTTTGGGGGGCGGGCTCCCTCGGGGAACCACTTGCAGCCCCATTTCAGTGGGGTTCCCCTTTCCCTCATTTATAAACCGAAWATTTCGCACCCCCTTCCTCCTCTCCTTGGATTAATTGATGAAATTTGACTTTATTAAAAGGATCCCACATAACTTCTCTCACATGCGGGGGCGGGGGGCAGCTCGCTGTTTATTTTCTACTGCATTTCTGGCGCTGGGGGCCTCGCTGATCGTGTCTGGGTCTCCGCTTAACACTGAGCAGAGCCCGCGCAGCAAAGCCCGTGCAGCCCTCAGATGATGTTTATTGTATCCAGGCCGTTTCTAGGGAAGAAAAAAAAAAAAAAAAAAAAAAAAAAAAAGCAGGATTTGTGAAAGGTTCGGCCAGACCTCCTCGCTGTGTTCTTGTCCTGAACTCTGTGTCTATAGGTGTTTTTGCAGACACGTGGGGAAATAAAACACATCTGAAAATAAATATATATATAAATACATAATGTTGCCGTGGCTGCTCGCTGTGCAGGGTGCGGGATGCAGCCGCGCAAGTGCAGGCGGGTGGTCCCCATCCTGCCCGCGGCGGCGGAGGGGCGCGCAGGGGAGCGGAGCTGTGGCTGGGACCGCAGCGGCCGCGTGGGCGCTTCCCTGTGGGGGGGTAGGGGCGCGCAGGCCCACGGACCCCACGTAGACACGCGGGGCAACCCATTTTCTCCCTTGAATCTTTCCCTACCCCGAAGGACTCTCGGGGGGGGGGGCTTCTGTTGGGGATATGGGGACCAGCTCCCCCCCCACACCCCCCTCGCTCCAGATGTCCTCAGCATCCCACAGGAGTGGTGGTTTTTTGCTGTGGTTTTTTTTTCTTTTTTTTTTCTTTTTTTCTTTTTTTCCTTACTGCTTCTGCTGCTACCCCGCATTTTTTTTTCACCCAGGCGCGCATATGCGTGTATATAATCTTAATATTTGATGGCATGATTAAAACCTTCTGAGAAACACTCAAGCTGCCTCGTATTGATCTCCCTGCTTTTCTTTCAGCCAACCCAGCTGCCAGCTGGCTTCACGCCCGTTCCTCCAGGAAAAAAAGATGCCCTTACACGAAATACCAGACCCTGGAACTAGAGAAGGAGTTTTTATTCAATATGTACCTGACGAGGGACCGTAGACACGAAGTGGCCAGACTCCTCAACCTGAGTGAAAGACAAGTCAAAATCTGGTTTCAGAACCGAAGGATGAAAATGAAGAAAATGAACAAGGAGCAGGGCAAGGAGTGAATCCTCCCCTCCCACCCCTCCCCGAAAAGCGGCATCCTCAAGCCCCCCACATACCCGCTTCCCGCCCCCCGCCCCGGGCAGCGCATCCGACCGCAGTGCTGACAAACAGCCCCGCGCCACGGGAACAGCTCCCCGCTTCCACCTTTGCATGCAAGATGTTGATTATTATTCTTCCCCTCCACTCCTTGGCCCTCCCTCTTAGGGTTGCCACGTAGGAGGCAACTTAGCCAAAACTGCAGCTCCTTTTGGGGGAGCCAGGCTGTTTTTTTTTTTTTTTTTTTTTTTTTTTTTCCCCTTGTGCTGTTTCTCTCTATTTTCTCCCATCTTTTCTTCTCCCTGCAGTGTAACATAGACACAGGCTTCCTCCCGAACAGCTCTCCCTGCTTGCACGTTCTCCACGGAAGGCAAAGCGGCAAACACAACTGGCCCCGAACAAGCCTGGCCCAAGCCCCCAACAAGCCGCACTGCTTTTCTTTATCCACGTAAGGACAATGATTCCCTAACCGCCACTGCCGGCACCCGGCGCACACACACACACCGAGGTGCCCAAGGAACCAGACGATTTAATTAAACTACTGCAAGACAGACACATTCGTAAGACTTGCGTTTAATTGCACCCCACAAATCATTTGCAATTCTCCAACTTTATACCGGGATAGTCGATTAATGAGAGCCCAACTCCCAACTGCGCTGGGTAGCTTTATGACTTTGTTGTTGTTGTTGTTGTTTTTGTTGTTGTTTTAGTCTTCATTTTCTTTGCTTTCCTTGTTATTTTAATCGTGCCATAGCAGAAAAGATGACTTTGGCCTGGAAATTAAGTAGAATCTTTACAGGCCACCCCGTTCATCTTCAACTTTCATAGTGAATCACTGGGAAGAGGAGAAAATACGGGGAGGTAAGAGAGAGTGGTGGTGGTGGGGCACTCTCAGAGCCGCAATGTAAATTGTTTAGGAGAAAAAAAAAMCCCACCGACATATACCTAACTTTTAGAGGAGAGAAAGAATAGGATTTTCTAGTAAAAACAAACAAAACAACAACAACAAAAAAAACACGTTATCTTAGTAGAGCTACAAGGAACAGAGAGGTTGTGTTCTTAGCATATTTATAATTTATTGTGAATTGACTTTTCCTAAAAGCAGTAGACTGTTGCAGAGATAAACTGCCAAGCAGCGCGTGTGTGTTTCCTTCCCCTCCTGCTCGCTGTGCTGCTCCATCTCGGGGCGCTTTTTTCTCGCGGGCTCCGGTAGACACGAGCTGGTGGCCGGGCCGGAGCCGGTTCCCGGGCGGGTGGCACCGACTCTCCCGGAGCTTTGTAAAAGCGATCTCGTTTCAGGCTGTCCGGAGCTGATCTCTCGTCTGACAGATCTGCCGCAGGTTTCTCCAAACGGCCCGGGCAAGGCTGCTTTTTTGCTTTTTTT